ACAATTCCATTGACGCCTGGTCTTCCTTACTAAATGTGTTACAAATACAATAATTCGAAGGCTCAGTAGCGTCCTGCTGCTCTAGAGGCGCTAAACATTTCAATTATCATTATAAGCAAACTGTTGTGCTCTCAATCTTGTGAGAGTACCAGCAAAAACTTTTTTTGATGGCCAGGCATGCTCCGTAGCTGAAAAAAATAGCTTCTCGTGCAGCGGTCCCCCCTCAGCGACAAGGCGTTGGGTTAGACCACGCCAAGTTTCACAAAATCACTGTCGTCAACTACTAGCACAAAACGAGGGGTGGCCTACCTGGCGAGTCGCACTAAACCTAAAAGCAAGGTAGTTAGAAAGTACTGATACAAACGTGCGTCAATGTTCACTACCTGGTACGGATGCATGTCTTGTTCTTTTACCTACACAGCATTAAAAGCTCGTCCAACTCATAAACTGCTCTGGCTGTCTTCTATGGTGAACTGGCTTACCTTGATGCTGCTCTCGTCCTGAAGGAACCTGGATGTGGCCTTCTTTTTCGAAAGTCTAGCAGCTTATTCGCTTGTGACTTCTCTTGAGCCAGTCAAGTTTGCCAAGCCCATCAGCTCCTTCAACCACAAAGCTGTACTTCGTTGCCATCAGCGTGAGGTAGAATTTTACAGTGCCGTATGCCGAATTGTAAGCCTGTGCGCGTTCGCGCCCAGGATTATGATGGTTTCATGGTGCTTTTTGTATAATTAGATGAACAGATGAAAGAAGGCTTCAATCACACGAAGCTTTGTTTTCCTGTCAACCCTTCAGCATGACTAGAAGACCTAGAAGCGGTAACAGGAAGAGGGCAGATACATTAATTCTAGGTAATTTTTTCCTGGCACCACTAGTCCGACGAGTACAACAATATTTGTGCATTCTCAGGTTTATAGTAGTGTGGGAACCCGTGCACAAACGTCGCGCAGCTCTGTGCTGCTACTACTAAGAGCCTGAAGAGATCATATGACTGCTTTGTAGTGCAGTGTTTGACGCCAGTTGCTAAGGGTCCGCGGGGAGGGGAGAATGCCAAGATGGAGTTGGACTTCAAAGCAAATTTTTCGAGTGAGGCATTTGAAGATGTGCTGTTTGCTGGTAGCATCCGCTTATCTGAGGCAACACCCAGCTGATTGCACACTGGACTTTAAAGCTTCAAATTAGTGTTGACCTTATCTTTTCAGTACGATTATGATTTGGAAAGTGCCATCTTGCAAGGAAAACACGCTTTCGGCTCACAGATTGAACTCAAAAGTCCAATGTAAGTTTCAGTTCAGCTTGGAATTTGCCGGGCTTCTATGTCATTCTGAGATGCATTACTTTTCATTTTTCAGGTTGTCTCTAAGACAGACCTCCCACCAAGCTTCCGATAGTTTGCGCAACTGCAAGTCCGTCACTACTTGCAGAGTATCCAGATGGTGGAACTATTCACCGGGGTCGCCCTGCTGTGGAAGATTCACCAGGCCCACCGAATGTCTTCAGGAACACTGCTTCCAGTGCGTAGATATTCCGTTATAAATTTGTGCATGTTTCGAAGGCACCCAACTTAGTGTTTCTCGCATAGCTCCCTCGCCTCATATATTCAGTTGAGTGCTTTTGAAACATGCACAAATTTATAACAGAATATCTCGAAATCCAGGATGGCAGCGCATTTAACAAGTTGCTCTGTCACACTGGTGCACCATCGTCACTTCTAATCGTGAGAGCCAAACACAAACTTTCTGCAGCCGTTGAGCTCATGAAAATGAGTGAAAGAAAACAACAGCTCCATTTCCCGGCCCTAGTAGGGAGCAGGCGTCCGTACGGAATAACCTAGGTTAACCGTGTACGAAAGAAGCATCTTGGAGGACCACGGGACAGAAAGGGTTAACAAAAACTCTCGCCATAGACAGTTTCAAAAGTATTGACCCACATGGTAAAGAAAGTCCCAGTTAGGCAAGCTGTTCCTGAAACGTGCGTTAAAGGAATCTTTGTTGTCCAAATCCCACCACACTGTTACCACGATCTGGATACTCTGCAACTAGTCACAGACTTGATAAATCGGAGGCGGTGCTTCAGCTAGAGTCCAAAAGTGAGTCCAAAAGTGTGCGTATAAACAGGGAAAATAAGCAATTTTCTGCTCAGAAGGGAGAAATACCGAGTGCAGTGCCAGGGGAACTCAAAGAATTACGCTCTGTTGTAGCTGAAGAGCATGATCTGTGCCTGAACGACAACTAAATTAGAAACAACTGTATGCCAAGTGGAAATAAAGCCACCAAGGACTATCCAACTGGCAAAAATTAAAAGAAGCTTGAAATAAAGAAGCTCGGCAGGTTTTCAACCAACTTTCCCTGGAGGTTCCATCAGGAAGCATGCCATCGAAACTCTGTTTGAAGTAGAAATCCGGCATGGAGCGGCGCGGCAGAGCAAATAACGAGGCCAGAATTCTGTAACGAGCTTGTCATGAACTCGAATAAAATTGTGGAAACTTCTATTCGTTTTAGTGGGAAGGAGCAGACAAAGGCGAGCCTCTGCTGCTTCAGACCTTGTGGGCGCGCTTACCTAGGACGGCACTGTTTTGAAGTGGCCTGAGAAAGCCTAAGAAGTAAATGTACAAGCCTACTGGATTAATTCCTATTTCACATGAGGCTACATAGACGACAATGTCTCGCGAGCAAATATGCACACAGTGAGAGTTGCTTGGTGTTTGCTTATGCATGCACCTGACGGGGCTGCTTGAGAGGAATCAAGCTAGAACTTTTCCTAAACACCCTATTTTGGGATTTTACAATTCTTTGGAGCATATTTGATGTATTTAAAAGGCAGAGAGGGCCCCACTGGGCTATTAGCTGGAGCTGGCTCTGCCGCCGCCGCGCACGGCGCCTTTCCTAGGTGGGGTGTGGGCGTGCATGCGCGCCTTTTGGGCCAAGGAGCTGAAAAGTAGCAAAAGAAAAGAATAAGAAGTGGCGAAGGAAGTGGAAAGAGCCGCAGAAAAGAGTCAAAAGGACAGGAGCCACGCGCAGCGGGGGAGCAGAGAGGCAAGAAAATGGCGTTGGGAAAGAAACGGGCGGAGGCCGCGGCGGCGGGCGAAGCAGCTGCAGTCGAGTCTTGGCGAACAGGATCTGCAGGTTTCGGTGAGAAGCGTGGCTAGCTGTGGCAGCAGGCGGCTGCTCGTTACGACGACCTGCAGCTGCTGCAGCTGCTGCAGGCCTGCTAGCTTGCTGCTGCTGCAGCTGCTGCAGGCCTGCTAGCTTGCTGCTGCTGCAGCTGCTGCAGCTGCTGCAGGCCTGCTAGCTTGCTGCTGCTGCAGCTGCTGCAGGCCTGCTAGCTTGCTGCTGCTGCAGCTGCTGCAGCTGCTGCGGGCCTGCTAGCTTGCTGCGGGCTCCGATCTCTTCCTCTTGGACTCTAAGGCTGTTTCAAAGGCCTATATTTTGGGCGATGGGCTCTTTGCGTCTTTTTGCTGCCAGGCGCTCGTCTCAGCTCGACGCTCTGTTGGCTCGCGGGCTCTTCTCTCTCCTTCGCAGCGCTGACAGTTCCGCGGCGAAAAGAATGGCAAGCAGCAACTCACAGAGGCTCCAAATGAAACTTTCTTCCATTTTACTGCTGCTGCTGCTGCTGCTGCTGCTGCTGCTGCTGCGCTGCTGCCGTGCTGCTGCGCTGCTGCGCTGGTTCGGTGGCGCCGCGCTGGGGTGCGTTTCTGTGCGAGTCTGGGGTGTACGTACACCTGAAAGCTTCCTTTTGTTTGCGTTTCTGCCACTTTTTCAGGTTTGATGTTTGTTTGGATTACATGTACGTCAAAAGAACACAATATGCCCCCAACATGTACGCCTCTCTCTGGCGCTGGCTGAAGAACGCCCCCAAGTGAAAGGCGGACCCGCAGAACCCCCAGGGGCCCCTTGGGGGCCCCTCGGGGGCCCCCGAGGGGCCCCTTGGGGGCTCCCAAGGGGCCCCAGGGTCTTGGGGGCCTTCCGCTGGCGCTCTCTGAAGAGAGCAGCAGCAGCGCAGCAGCAGAGCAGCAGCAGAGCAGCAGCAGAGCAGCAGCAGAGCAGCATCGGCGGCTGTGGGGTCCCTTTTTGCCCTTTTTCTCAGTGAATTAAACGAGCTTTTGTTTTGGTTTTTTCCAAAAAGTCCGCAAATGTTTCTTTTAAATCTCTTTGAGTAACCCCCCCTGCCTCTCGCAGCAAATTAAAACTGAGAGAACTCTTTGCATGCAAAGGGCAGCTTGTTGAATTCAGGCTTTCTGCTGCTCCCTCCTGGCTAGCTTTGGAGGCTCTGCTGCTGCTGAGCTGCTGGGCTGCTGCTGCTGCGCTGCTGCTGCTCCGCCGCTCCTGCTGGGCTGCTGCTTCCACGTTGCTGCTGCGCTGCTGCTGCTGCGCTGCTGCTGCTGCGCTGCTGCTGAAGGCAGCAGCCAGCCGAGCGGCGCCCGCAGGCAGTTCTGCTGCGGGGGCTGCAGCAGGCCGGACTTGAATTAAAGAAAATGCCATAAGTTTGGTGCTTGCATGCGCCTCCTCTCAGCTTTTTTCGGATTTTTAAAAAGTTGAATTGCTGCAGCAACATCAGCAGCATAATGGCAAAGTTGCGGCGAAGAGGCGCGAGAAAGCGAATTGAAAGAAACTTAGCTAGCTAGCCAGCAGAAAAAGCGAAAACTCTGGCAGCTAGCTAGCTGGCTAGCTAACTAGCTGGCAAGCTAGCAGTGCGGCGAGGCAGCTGCCACAGATGCAAACAGATAGTGGGATAGAAAAGTAGACAGACAGATACGTAACTAGTTAGCTAACCGGCTAGCTAGACAGCTAGCTTGCCAGCTAGTTGGCTAGCCAGCTAGCTTGCCAGCTAGTTAGCTAGCAAGCTAGCTAGCTGCCAGAGTTTTCGCTTTTTCTGCTGGCTAGCTAGCTAGCTAGCTAGCTAGCTGCCAGAGTTTTCGCTTTTTCTGCTGGCTAGCTAGCTAGCTAGCTAGCTAGCTAGCTAGCTAGCTAGCTAGCAGAAAAGGCGAAAATGCTGAAATGCTGCTAAATGTCGTAGCCGAGAGCGGCCAATTCCCTTTCGCAGTCCGCCAGTCTTTCTTCTGCGAGCCGCCCCTTTTTTCTGTCGGCGCTGCTGCCTTCAAAGGAGAAGAAGATGCTGCAGGCCTGCAGCAGACACTCGCGGGCCTGGAGAGCCAGCTTGGCCCTTGCTTCCGAGCCTGTTTCCTCCTCCAGCGCCCCCGCTGCTGCTGCTGCTGCTGCTGCTGCTGCTGCTGCTGCTGCGGGCGCTGCTTCGGCTGCAGCGTCGGCTTCCACGCACAGCTGCCAAGCCTTCCGCGCCTCCGCCTCAGTGTCGGACTGCGCAAGGAACAGCAGCAAAGAGCCTTCCGTCAGCAGCAGCTCAGCGCGCGGGGAGTTGAAGCGGCCGTGCAGCGCAGCAGCAGCACGAGACAGCTGCTGCGCTGCTGCCAGCCCGAGCCCGTTGTAAACAGCCACGAGGCCTTTGCAGGCGCGGTGTATGTCCTCTGCAATGGCGCTGAGCTGCAGGTTTCCGGGGTGTACGTACACCCGAGCAGCAGCAAACAGCTGCAAAACCGCAGCTCCTTCCTCTGCTGCTGCTGCTGCATCTGCAGTGCAGCAGATGCAGCAAAAACGATCTACAGCTTTCCTCAGCCTCCCCATCAGCGCTGCGAGGCCCCTCACCTCTCCCGCAGCAAGAGTGCCTTCGCACATGCAGCAGCGAATGGCAGGCCCCGGGGCCCCTAGGGGGGCCCCTAGGGGGGCCCCTGCGGGGGCCCCCGGGGGGGCCCCCTGGGGGGCGCCCGAGGGGGCCCTCTCGCCAGGGGCCCCCAGCTGCTCGATCTGAGGCAGCGTGAACAAGCTAGGCTCTTCAGAGGAGTCTGCCTGGGGGCCCCTGGGGGGCCCCCTTGGCTCTGCTGCGCAAAGTCGCAGGGGCTCCCAGCAGTTGGCCTCCGGCCTGTGCATGCAGCAGACCGGCAGCCGCAGCTTCCACTGCCTTGCTGCTGCTTCTAGGGCCCGCGGGTCTTTCAAGGGGGAGGCCCCCTTGGGGGGGGGCCCCCCTCCAGGGGGGCCCCCCGCCCCAAAGGGGGCCCCCCCTCCTAGGGGGGCCCCCCCAGGGGGGCCCCCTTCTAGAAACCGCTGGCTGTTTCTTTCTAAATGAAGCAGCACATCTGCTTCTGGTGAGCTGCGCAAGGCGACACAAGAAGCTTTGGGGCAGAAGACAGCAGACAGCTGCAGGTCAAAAGCCTCAGCGGGAGAGAATGAAACCGGAAGGCCACTGCTGCTGCTGCTGCTGCTGCTGCTGCTGCTGCTGCTGAGGCTGCTGGGGCTGGAGGCGCCGGCAGTGCCGTTGGCGCTGCTGCTGCTGCTGCCGTTGCTGCTGGCACTGGGGCCGGATGTGGGGCCGCCGCAGCACGCGTTGGTGCTGCTGCAGACGCTGCGGCCGCTGCCTTGGCCGCTGCTGCTGCTGCTGCTGCTGCTGCTGCTGCTGCCCGTCGCCGGCTCGCTGCTGCAGCTGCAGCAAAGGGCACACGTGCAGTTGAAGCCGTAGGCCAGCAGCAGCCGCCGCCGCCTCTCCGCCCGCGGAGCAGCAGCAGAAATGTAAGAAATGCAAATCTCTTCTCCACTAACAATCGAACGAGAAGCATAAATGGCCATCTCCAGGGGCCCCCGGGGGCCCCCAAAGACAACTGCAGCATTTGGAAGGCAAGAATGGTTAAACCGACACACCGGCGGTCCATACAGCCCCACTGCAACTTCTCTCCCAGACTCGCAGCACGGGCAGACCCCACAGGGGGGCCCCCAGGGGGCCCCCGTAGTCCTCCCGGTGGGTTATAGAGAAGACGTTGGCTGAGAGACAACTCAGCAGCTTCTCAAGCTCTTCTGCTGGAGGCAGCGAACTTAGCCCGAGGGCCTGCAAGCCTCCGTGGGCAGCTTCGAGGGAGAGCAGCAGCTGCTGCAGCAGCGCAGCAGCTGCAGCGCGAGAACTGAGGTAGTCCGAAAGGGCATTGCTGCTGCTGCTGGCACCCCCTGCTGCTGCTGCTGCTGCTGCTGGGTGGCCCGCAGCAAACTCTGCAGTCGAATGGCCAGCAAGAAGAAGCCGCAGCGCCAAGCGCTGAGTTAGGTTGGGTCCCCTGCCTCCCGATGCCTTCCTTATGTCTGAAAGCAGCAGCAGCAGCAGCAGCAGCAGCAACAGCAGCAGGCAGCAACATGTCACTACACATTAGCAACAGCACGTGGGTGCACCAGGGCTATCCTACCCGCTCGCCAAGGAAGAGTACTTTAGCACTGAGGGTTTAGGGTTTAGGGTTTGGGGTTTAATGGCCGCTCAGGCCACTCCTGGGCCGTTCTTGCCAGCAGCAGCAGCAGCAGCAGCAGCAGCAGCAGCAGCAGCAGCAGCAGCAGCAGCACTGCTCACGGCTGAAGATGGGGCACTCGGCCTTGTGGCGGCCCCAGGCGGCCCGCTGGCACTCCGTGCTGCAGTAAGTGACGGCCTTGCATGCGCTGCAGCGTTTAGCTGCTGCAGCACCGCGCCCGTTTGCTGCAGCAGCAGCAGCAAAAAGGCCCTGGCTGTGGTCGTAGGGCCGGAGGCACTGGTCGCAGGAAGTCACTGGGCTGGGGGGGCCCCCAGGGGCCCCCGGGGCCCCTGGGGCCCCCGGGGCCCCTGGGGCCCCTGGGGGCCCCCACGAGGCCCAGCCGCAGCCCCAGGGACAGTCCGGGGCTGCGCGAGCGGACCAGACCAATGGACCACTCTGGCGAGCTAGTAGTTTGCCGGCCTTTATGAATTCTTTGGCCACAACTCCAGCGCCTCGGCCCCCCCCCACGTCGGCGAGGACCCCAATGGCCGGGGACCAGAAGCAGGGGGGCCCCCCGGGGCTCGCCATTGTTCACTCTGCAGGGTGAAATGAGTTTTTAATTCAATAAATAACACAAAAATGCAATTATAGCCGCAAAAGTAGCTGATCTGCGGGGTACCGGGGGGCCCCCCTCGATTCCAAGTGCCCGGGGGGGGGCCTCGTGGGCCTCCTCTGCTGCTGCCTTTTAAGCAGCAGCTATTCCCGGAAAAACATGTTTTTTTAAGTTTTATTTTATAAAATAAGAATGTTTTGAAGGCCTGTGTGGTGCTCGACTTGAGCTGTAGCGACAGCCCGAGGCATCGAATATACAGTCGGCGGCTGTCTCACTGGATCGGGCGCTGCAGTTCGCTGTCTGTACAGCCCGGCACTCAGCTCCTTTGCAGATATTTGTGTCTTTTTTCCTTCATTTAAACTCTCTTTTTTCACCTCTACAAAGAAAGAAAAGAAACAAATGCCCCCCCTTTACCTGCGTGATCACCGCGAGTGCCTTTGACAGCTGGGCGCTGCAGACTCGGGCTCAGCTGTACATACACCCCAGCTCTTGCCCTTCTTCGCTGCCCTCCCCTTCCCTTCTGCTGCACTTGCCGCATGCAGCTGTTTTGAGGTGCAGCGGGGCAGCCTCAGCGGGCTGCTGCTTGTGTTATAAGCAGCAGCAGCAGCAGCAGCAGCAGCAGCAGCAGCAGTGAGTCGCCTGGAGCAGAAAGCCGCCAAAACTTCTGCTTCGTCCAGATGCGAGCGGTCCCCCAGGGCCGGGGCCTCATGGGGCGTGGGGAAGCTGAGAGCAGCAGCAACTCCCGCAGTTTGCGAGTTTTACCAATTCGATGAAACTGAAATCCCTGCTGCAGCAGAT